CTCGCCGTCGCATGGTATATGCAGGCATAAATACCTTTTTCTTATGATTTGCTTGCTTGCGTGAGTACAAGTGCATTTCGACATACAATTTCATTGTCATTTCTTTATTTTCTAGGACAAGCGAAAAGACAGAAAACTGGAGAAGAACGCGATGTGTCTAACTTTTCACTGTACATTTGTTATTGTAAGAACTACGTACGTCATAAATCCTTAGAGTGGGAAAAGACTATTAGATATTGCTGAACGCAGATAAGCATCTTATGAGATGGCTGGTCAGCTTGGTTCAAATGCTTCTCAACACACTGACTACCTTCTAAACGTATCTTTGGACATTTTAATTCCTGAGTTCTGGTTTGGCCAAGTTTATATCTCTCGATCACAAAGGTGTCACGGTCAGCAGCTCTACTAAACACTGGGTATCCGCGGAATATTTAGATTGCTTTGGTGTGTACACGAACTATTAGTCTTTCTTTTGAATATACAGAGCTCTATAAGTCTTTTATCTCCTTCCGCTGTCAATACATTAGTGTGATGATTCCAAGGTCAAGGAATTCAGTCACTGAGATTTAAATAATGTCCTACATCCATTTTTGAGGGAATTTAAGTTTATCTTATTTTTAAAAATATTCCATGTATCATTGAGTTTATGTAACTTAATTGGCACAACATCAGTATGGATCTAACTCATATCAACGATAATAGTCCACTTTCATTCCTCTCTATCTCCTAATCTGAGTTGCAGGTGAGGATAATCTAAGCTTCCATTTGAAATTTAGACCTTGAACCTGACAACCAACAAAAATGAAGCGGTGATTATTAGATATGCTATCTTAATTCATGATGAACGGTGCTCTTCGTCATCAGTCATTTCTGCTGGCTTACACGAAAAATATTAAGATTGTGTTTTGAGGGTATAAAGATTCTACAGGATTTCGGAGTTTGGCAACAACTTAACACGTAACACATTTATAACTAAAGTACACCAACCTAGTCAAATGTGAAGTCAAAAATGAAGAGGTTAGAAGATATAGTTGAAAGGTTATCGATATACAGGGCAGCGTTTAACCTAGGCTCACTAAGCTAATGTCCGGCGCTTTGCCCGGGTTGGTGGACACCGATAGTCCACCTGGGGGAGTTGGAAAATTCTGATTCCGAACCAATGGTGCACATGGACTCCAGTATCCTGAAGGAACAAATGACGTATAAACCAATTGTTTGTCACCGGCTACCATGGGACTGCACCTCCTTACGATGCTCCACTGCCTTATGGGTTAGACCTCTAGGTCAAAGGCTCGGGGTGTGGCCCCCCAAGAAAACAACCTGCTTCGCTTTGGGCACCCGGGAAGTATCACAGCTCTCGCGCAAACATGAAATAACGTTATCTGCTCACAATGGTTTTCTCGCTACCACTAACAGTCAGACAATTTACATCATTATTAGTATTAAAATTATTATTTACCATGATTACTCACTCTCTTCTATCCTTAATTTTGTGCATCATTACTTTCCAACCTATGCAGCAGCTCGCTCTTGGTGGAAAATCTGTCCTATCTAAACGATCTCCAGTCACTGTCTGGTTGAAAGTGAATGCTTCCACCGATTACGAATACTGAACCAGCTTTTCTGAAACCACGTACGCCGTTCAAGCTGGCTTCCTTCAACGTTCGCACACTAATGCAGATCAGACAATAGATAGGGCTGGCTATGTTTTTGGAAAATCTTAATGTTGAAGTTTGTTGTCTACCTGAGACTCGTATTCAAGACTATAGTGAAGTACTACAAATCCACTCTCCATCTGTCGCTTCGAAAAGCTTGTTTCACGTGCGTTTATGCGGGACCCTGTAGCATCTTCGTCTGGTCTTGCCGGCGTTGGTGTCGCTCTAAGCGAATTGGATCCCCGTTGATAGTCGGTTATGCACTGTTGGATTAGAAAGTTCGATCAAAGTGAGAAGAAATCGGCGTGAGAAATGATGTCTTTTCGTCATCTCCGCCTATGCCCCGACAGATTGCAGCCCGGATGCAATCAAGGATGAGTTTTACCATCAGTTAACAGTTCTTCTCCAGAAAGCGCGTTCGACAGATATTGTAGTACTAGCCGGAGACTTGAATGCACAAGTCGGGCGTCTAGGCACAGAAGAGAGTCGTTTAGGTGGCCGATGGGGACTTCTTGGTCGCAGGACAGATAACGGGGACCGTTTGCTGCAACTGTGCACAGACCACAACCTGTTTCTGGCCAGCACTAACTTCCGGTACAGTCATCGCCGGTGTGCTACCTGGCGTCCTCCCTCTGCATACCAAGCCTGGACTCAGATTGATCACATCGCGATCAGCTACCGCTGACGTGGTTGTGTACAAGACTACCACTACTTTTGGAGTACCTATCTGGAGTCTGATCATGCCCTGGTTTGCGCCAATCTCACCTTACTTTTCAGTGGCCGAAGGACTGACCACCATCAACGGATCGATGTTAGTAAACTGGCTGCAACTTCTGTTGCAAGTAAGTATCGAGCGGAGCTAGCTTCTAGGTTAGCTACCATCCCACCGAAAAGTATAGATGAGCATTGGTTGCATCTTCACGACGCCATGAAAATGGCGAGTAAAGCCGCTTGCGGCTTCGCGAAACGTCCCGCTTACAAGCACTGGGTTTCTTCTGACTCCTTACAACTGATGGAAGCCCGTCCGTCTACTCCGGGTGACCGTGAGTATGACCACAAACGAAGGCTGTTACGTAATGAAATTGGGCAAAGCTTGCGTAAGGACCGAGAAGACTGGTGGTTGAAGCGTGCAAATGAGATGGAAGCAGCAGCTGCATCTATTTACTGCCGGAAGCTCTTCCAACTCATCCGAGCCACTGGCAAAAAGAGGTCTGGTGTTAGTGAAACAATCTACGAGGATGACGGAATGCCAATCACTAACATCTCTCGACGTCTTGGACGATGGGAGGAATTCTTCGAAGGGCAGTTCAACTGGCCTGCTGCTCCGGCAACATCAACCAGTTTGTCCTGCCCCCCCCCCATGACCGGTGACGACTGATCCATCAAACGAGGCGGAAGTCCGCAAGGAACTCCAACTCTTGAAACGCTACAAATCACCTGGCCCAGATGACTTACCTCCGGCTCTTTTTAAAGATGGTGGTGACTTTCTGGCTAAGGAACTGACGGTGTTGTTTGCAAAGGTTTGGGAGGAAGAAAGTGTTCCAACATCTCGGAATGAGTCGACAGTCGTCCATATCTTTAAAAAGGGTTCACGTCGTTCCTATAACAACTATCGGGGGATAAGTCTACTTCCGATTGCGTCCAAACTATTGGCTTCTATCATTCTTCGTAGGTTGTTTAAAACCCGAGAACGATTGACTCGCGAGGAGCAGGCTGGTTTCCGTTCTGATCGAGGATGCATTGATCACATCTTCACCCTCCGCCAAATGTTGGAACACCGCCATACTTATCGCAGGCCAACAATCGTAGTGTTTCTTGATATCAGGGCTGCCTTCGATTCCTTGGACAGGACTGTTCTCTGGGATTGTTTATTGAAGAAGGGTGTGCCTGAGAAGTTCAGTAACATCTTAAAGGCCCTGTATACGAACACCTCAGGCAGAGTGAGGGCATACAACCACCTTTCTCCCTTGTTCCATTCGAGCAGTGGGGTTAGGCAGGGTTGCCCAATCTCACCATTCCTCAACTTTGCTATCGACGACATCCTGGAAACAGCTCTGATGGATGTAAGTAATGGCGGTGTGGATCTGCTGCCTGGAGAACGACTTCTCGACCTCGAGTATGCGGATGATATTGTCTTTCTGTGCGATAATGCCCAAGGCATGCGATCCGCACTTAATCAGTTGGCAATCAGTGTCCGCAGGTACGGCATGTGCTTTTCACTCTCCAAGTGCAAGGTACTTCTACAAGACTGGCAGGATTCTCATCCTGTACTCACCCTGGATGGTGAGCAGATTGAAGTAGTTGAGAAGTTCGTGTATCTAGGTAGCTACATAAGTGCTGGTGGTGGCGTGAGTGATGAGATCGATACACGTATAGTGCGGCATATGCCAATCTGGGCCATTTTGGGCACCTTCGTGATGTTAGTCTGGCTGTAAAAGATTGGATCTACAACGGTGAGAGCAATTTTGCTTTGTGCCTAAAACTTATGGAACTATTTATTTCGCGGATTTATTTACCACTGCATGCACTGCCTAATCATGTTACGAACGTGTCAAGTGTAGGGCAGTCAGTATTAATGGAAAAAACAACATAACAAAGATCATACCTCTAATAATTTTTTATTACAAACTACTTCAACATACCTACAACTTGCGTAACTCCTCTCGAGAGGTATCCGAAGTTGAAAAATCCGGGGGTATTAGTACTCTAAAATTTGAAGCCTCAAGCTAACCGCGACAAAAGTGCTTTTCGAGCAAACCACGCACTTGTGGCATTGAAGCGCATTTTCGGCCAGTTACACAGAACTTTCCACATAATCTTCAACAGTTTTATTCGTACCTACTTAGAGTGCGGAGACATAGCATTTCCTTCCTCACTCCAAAAGCATAAAGACACTCTGGAACGTATCTAACGGCGAGCCACAAAACCAATTCGATGACTCAAATTCAAGCCTTATGAAGAGCGTCTCCAATCACCTAACCTTTACCCACTAGAGTACAGGCGTCTTAGAGGTGACAATATAGTGGCTTAAAGTATCCTTAGAACTTCTGGAAATCCCCTTTAACACCTAGTTAAGCTTGGCATTAACAAAAACCTAAGTAAAAACACCAAGAAAACACCAAGAGAAAACTTGTTATATTTTTAAGGACTAAGGATAGTACCTTCCTATGGTTTACCAACTTCCCTTTTATCAATAATATACCTAGGTTCCTTCCTGGAGGTATCGATCACTCACTGATACTAAATACGGAAGCAGGTTAAGCGAAACCTTCCTCTACTTCGTCCAAAACCATTTAGATGATCTGATAATGTGGTGTTTATCCTCACTCAGCGGTGGAAGATAAATGAATGTGGCGCCAAGGTCATTAAGTATTGCGTTACTCAAATGGTGGGCGACAGTTTGACCTTCTATTGGTCAGTAATCTCCGTCAGTGGACGGTACCACTGAAGCGTTGCCATAATCTCTTGGGACAACTGAAAATCTTCAGCTTCTCACAGGAGCCAAACTAACAGTAAATTCACGGTCTTAAATGTTTTGTTTCAGACATCGTCATTTTTTTCTAAGTCAATGATGTTAGTCGTCATAGTGCGTCAGTCGAAAGCTAAGGGAACAAAAGTCCATGTTACTTTCTGAATTATCCACAGGACAAAAACAGTGAAAAACGATTTGAGTATATAACTTTGATCAACCACTCATTTTATACTACCCTGTCTAATATTTGATAACAATTTCCCTCCTAGAAAGCTCTAAGTAAGGTGGCATACTCCCCTGTCAGTGATGTAAACTGTCACAAAACTTTTCGCCTTACAAAATAAAATAGTATATTTAGTTCAAGAATATGATTGAAGCCAGACAACAGCACATAATTGTTTTATAACATGACAATAAAATTCTGAACTACACTCAAACCATAAGTGTATTTCTGACTTCCTGTTCGACAGCAAATAAACAATTACTTATAGCAGCAAGCGTCTCGGGCATCCGATTAGCTAGGCTTATTTTTTAGTGGTTATCACAAGACCATTGTCCTAAGATTTCTCTTAAATGGTTGATAAATGGAACGTAGATTATTTACTTGACTAATGAAAAACTCGACTTAGGGGATAGATTTACTATCCCAACCCTTATCGCTGAAATATATATATGCCTCATCTATTAGAAATAAAAGCTATTTCTTGTGAAGCCACATTCACTCATTATTTTTCTGATTACCCCGATGTATCATTCCCCCCCCCCAGAAAACTAGGTCTGACTCAGCAGATTTTAGCTCAAGGCTTTGAAATTGGTTGGGGAGTTACATCAATAGCATTTTCATTTTCTTAGAAAAGTTGGAAGTCTGATGTCAATCGTGCGCTCAAACTTAGTGAATGGTATTTAATTAAAGAGTAGCTGGGTTTTTTTCCAATTAACCCACCTTGTTTAGATTATTAGGCCCAAAAATGCTATTTGGTCATTTCTAATATATCTTTGCAGTGTTTCTATTCACAAGAAGGTAAAATAGGTAAGCAAACCAGAAAATACAAAAGTTTATGGTTCTATTTTGGTTCAAATAGCAACACTAGCCGTATAAAAGAGTTAGGAAGTGTGTAGTAAAATGTTTATAAAATAGTACTTTTGAAGATTTGGTTTCAGGCTGTATATACAATTTATACATATCGACAGCTGGTAAGCCTAAAGTTACAAACTTGACAAAAGATATAAATAAGCGATATAGAACCTCATCAAATAAATTAAGTTTCATTAGACTACAGAATCTTTCAAAACATTTACAAGCCTTTCTCATGTGAACTTGAAAAATTAGATTAAAACTTCTGGAGAATGCCATTTCTGAAGGGTGGACGTGCTGCGGTGACAAGGACTAAAAAGTACTTAGAAGGTGGACGAATACTTCTGAACGATGGTGTCAAGATTATTGTCATCAATCATGTCCCCGGAGCAGAAATATCACATGGATGCGATGAATTCATTAAATGGCATCTTCCTCCTTTACAATTCAGAAATCCAAACGTTCAGGTAATTATTTAATACGCATTTCTAACTAACTCACTAGATAATAACGTTCAAAAATATGTTTCCGACTCCATTTATTAAAATTTACCTTGAAAAAAACGAAGAACAAGTGGTAAATTGTGCTTTTCGAAAGAATTCCGATATCTATGATCACTTAATAACACTTCTTGGGAAGCCTGCTCCATCTGAGAGTTCCTTGGTAAATAACTTGACTACAAAAAACCCATCAAGTTTTGGCAAGGAGTAATTTTTATTCTAAAAAATCTAATCATTTCTTAATCAACTATAGGTTCCCGCGCCAATGTATGTGCGAATTATATGGTCAAATGCCTTGCTCGTCTAATATTGGGAAACCAAAGTTATGGCCAAAGTTGGAATATACATTGCCTCCGGTGGATACAGAATGGTTAAAAAACGCGACTGATATCAGTGTTACAAATGATAGATAGATACTCAGTGTGTGTATATCTGTGCAACACATCATCATTCGATTGTTTCTTGTATCGTTCTTCCTCTTCTTAAAGCATAACATATTTAGTACCATTTTTCAGAACACTGGATTTTTTTCAGTCAGTCAGCTACAACGTAGGACCAGGCACATATATGCATCGGTCCAAGTTGTAATACCTTATTAGCACAACAAGATGAACACCGAATTCAGATCAGTAGTTAATTTAATGGTGGTAATATATAAAAGAAAGATTGTATATAAGGATATAGTACGGGAAGAAAGACAGATATGAAGCAATTTTAATCTCAAAGTTTAAGGGAAGTCAGAGAGTGTACACACCTACGCAATTGTGATCGATTCTGAACCATGTCACACAGTCTTCAATCATTTTTTACGATAGTCAACCGTACACCAACCAAATGGTCTGCATCTACGAATGCTGAATATGTGGTCGGTACAGCCACGTCCGGAGCAGGCTTGATTTCCTCGTGTTTACAGTTCACGAGTTATTTCCAGCAGTAGGTCTGTGATGAAAGTAAACAAAAATAGAGATAGTGGACAGCCTTGTCGGACACCACTTGAGGTTGCAAAATCAAATGATAGTTCGCCATAAGCTCTGACTCGACTGGTAGTGTTCGAGTTAAGAGCCATCACATGGTTTATGTACTTCTCAGGTACAACTTTCAGTGACAGACACTGCCACAGAACCTCTCGGTCTATAGAATCAAATGCTGCTTTTAAGTCAAGTGAAACTATCATTTAAAACAATTAGTTCCTTCGATGAATTTCGATAATGCATTGAGAAGACGAAGTTTATCAGAATTATGTGATATATTAGCGCAATACATTTCGAACAATCTGATCACACATATACCTGTTAAGGCATTTTTATATGAAAATTAAAAGGTCAACTAGACAGGTTAAGGTAAGAAAATAAATAAAGTACACAAAAACAATGTGATGACTACTCTGGATAATAAATCAGCATTACCAGGGTATGTTAAGGGTAAGGACAAATTGCTTTTGAACACATAAAGGGGGTTTCAGTGGTTAAATAAGAACACAGGATAGACAAACATCTTCCATTGCGAAACATTTTGTTGAAACTGATCGTAAGGTTGACATCAAGTCAGCGTTTGTATTGTTGTACAAAAGCCTTCAGGGACGTATACTAAGGTTTATTGAAGCCTTGGCTATAGGGAAATTGAAACCCCCTTTATATGTTCAAAAGCAATTTATCCTTACCCTTAACATACCCTGGTAATGCTGATTTATTATCCAGAGTAGTCATCACATTGTTTTTGTGTACTTTATTTATTTTCTTACCTTAACCTGTCTAGTTGACCTTTTAATTTTCATATAAAAATGCCTTAACAGGTATATGTGTGATCAGATTGTTCGAAATGTATTGCGCTAATATATCACATAATTCTGATAAACTTCGTCTTCTCATTGCATTATCGAAACTATCATTGTCGGACGCCGATAAGCATGCTTGTGTTCTAAGATCTGAAGAATGATAAATATGTGGTCGATACAGTTGCGACCAGGTCTGAAGTCAGCCTTACTTTCTCGTGTTTGCAGTTGACGAGTATTTGTTAGATGCCCGATAATTATTGAGGCTAGTATTTTAGGTGCCACATTAGTAAAACTATCACAGGATGATTTTGACACCTTATATATTAAAACAATTAGTGATTGTGACCAATCAGGTGGGGTTACGTCCGACACCCAGATTTTAATTAAAATATTAGTCAACCTAATCGCTAAAATTTGACCTCCGTAGTCTAACCCTCTGCTCTTCCTTGCTTCAGATTAGCTATAGCCTTTTGAACTCGATGTCCCATTCAGGCTGCCTGGGAATGGTGAGTAGTTGTACAGTTTCTGAAGGCCAGCTAAACTGTACAGCCCATCGTTCTAAACACCTGGACTGAGGGCAGATAAGAATGTCGTCTTTCTCCGAGATTGTTTCGCTTGCACTTGACTTCGTAGATCCAGTTTCTTTTATTAGTCTGCCTTTTTTTACTTACAGCCGCTCTCTTTCCCATTTCCTTTTTTGCTTTCGTTGCCCACCACTGCTCACGATCGTCTTGTAGACTTTTAATTACACCTGTTACCCCTCGTTGAGAAGCCTAGGCCGCTCACCAACATTCTCCACCCAACTCTGTTCTGAGCCTTCTTTTCCAGTTAACATTCATCCTTTTCATATCTGCTTCTATTTCCCGGAGTAATGTGTTCTTTGGCCTTCCTCTTTTCCGCTTCCCTTCCGGATTCCAAGTTAGGGATTGCCTTGTAATGCACATTGGTGATTTCCTTAATGTATGTCCGATCCACTCCTAACGTCTTTTCCTAATTTCCTCTTCAGCTGGAAGCTGGTTTGTCCTCTCCCATAAGACGCTGTTGCTGATAGTATCCGGCCAATGGATGTTGAGTATTTTGTGTAGACAACTGTTTATAAATACTTGTACCTTCCTGATGATGGTCGTAGTAGTTCTCCACGTTTCATCTCCGTACAGTAGAACTGACTGTCTTGACGTTCGTACTGAACATTCTCACTTTGAAATTAGCTGACAGTTGTTTCGATTTCCATATGTTCTTCAATTGTAGAAATGCTGCCCTCGTTTTGCCAATCCTTGCCTTTACATCTGCATCCGATCCTCCTTGTTTATCAACGATTCTTCCCAGGTACGTGAATGTTTCCACCTCTTCCAGAGTTTCGCCATCAAGTGTGATTGGGTTGGTGTTCTCCATCTTGTATTTGAGAATCCTGCTTTTTCCTGTGTGAATGTTGAGACCTATCGGTGCAGAGGCTGCTGCTACATTTACTGTCTTCATCTGCATTTGTTCGTGTGTATGAGAGAGGAGGGCTAGGTCATCTGCGAAGTCCATTGTATTCCGTATTTCACTTCAGATGTCGAATTCTTCATAATCCAGTCAGTCACTAGAAGGAAGAGGGATGGGGAGAGTAGACAGCCTTGTCTGACTCCGGTCCCCACTGGAAATGCATCTGTCAGCTATCCTCCATGCACCACTTTGCACTGTAGTCCATCGTATGAGTTTTGGATAATGTTGACAATCTTTTCAGGAAGTGTCGAAGAAGTTTCCATAATGTTCTCCTGTCCACACTGTCAAACACCTTTTCATAGTCAATGAAGTTGACGTATAGTGATGAGTTCCACTCAACTGATTGTTCAACGATGATCCGTAGTGTCGCAATCTGGTCTGTGCACGACCGATCCTTACGGAATCCAGCCTGTTGATCTCGAAGTTTGGCATCTACTGAGTCTTTCATCTGGTTCAGCAACACTGTTGAAAACTTTTCCTGGTACTGACAACAGTGTGATGCCTCTGTAATTCTCACATTTGCTCAAATCTCCCTTCTTTGGTACGTATATCTTTCCAAGCAACATCTAGGGTGAGCCTCGTTTTCAAAACTACAAATGTGTGACCTCAGTTGTTCCTGAAATCGACTTTCTCGTCACTGAGTTCGATTCTGATAGGTTTTCTTAATGTGGTTTTTCTGTATCCAGTAGGTCACAAGCGAATGCATGCTCGTATCAGAGTCCAAACAGGTATTCCAGAACGAATGACAGTCTTCTGTCGAGCCTTTCCAACGATGACTGATGGCAATATGGTCTATTTGAGTCCACCGTTGATTTGCTGCAGGGGTTGCCATGTAAGACGATGTCTCTCCTTATGCTTAAAATTAGTTTGCTAAAAATAAACGATTGTCTGAGCACAGTTGCAGCAGAAGATCACCATTATCTGTTCGCTGAGTCGGAATACTAAGATATCCGCTTAAATGTCTTTCTGTTTGGTTTAAGCTACCTAATTGGTCTTTAAAGTCACCCGCTACAACTACTATGCTTGAGCGCTTAGCTTTTTGAAGAAGAGCCTTCTGTAAGTCATCTTTTAATTCATCCGGGCTGCAGTCAGTGGCAGGGTAGGCAGAAACGACGTGTGTCCATATCCTTCCAAGTACTTACGGAGCCGTTCAGCCGAAAAGCAAATAGGCGACTGTTAACAGGGACCCACTCTAATAGTTCTTGTTCTGTCCTCGTACTAAGTGCTATGCCTACACCTGCAAGTCCACAAGAACTGGCCATCGGGTCGCCAGATACACAGGGTGTATTTCGTTGGCTGTCCATTTTGGCGATGTGGTGTCAAGTGAGTGACCCCATTAGAATTCTATATGCGTGTTTCGGAGACACAGAATACATCAACGGTACGAGCTTCTAGGGCTTTAATCAAGGAAGCCTGCTGGTCGATTTAACAGGATGCGTACGTTGAAGGCTCCAATGTATAGTTTGGAGCGAGGTTATGATAGAACTAGGACAGTGTTTTGTGCACTAAAATCATTGGTGACACTTGAGGAGGAAGTCTAGTGTTGAAAGCCGATGTTATTAATAAGTCAATGTCATTAGAAAATATCTTGTAAGACAATGCAACTATTATCATTTTAAGCATCTTAGCTTAGTAGTTACAAAGACCCAAGTTTAATTAAAATAGATTTAACAATCTAATTCTATCAGAATAAAAAGTCTTCCAACAATAAGTTAGTGTGATCTTCAGTCCTATGGATCTCGGTTATATTTTTGGTTCTCATTTTCTTATTCGTAAGATTTGCCTATGTATTCTGACGCAACTACCATTGTTTTGTCGACCGTCCTACTAGTTATCATGTAATCTGTTGTTTTATGTTGCTATCGAATAAGGTTTCCCAACCAAATGTCTTAAGCATTTACATTATTATTTATTAGTAAGTAGGAATTTTCAGCAATCCATTAAAAAGTAGAAGCGCATCCCTACAATGGTGATAACACTAACATTTACTTGTATGCTTAAAATAGGGAAAAAGCCAGTACTCCACTTTCAATTAAATCAATAGTTTAGATTGATCAACATTGTGATCTTTATGTCACCATTGAGAAGCCTGGTCGATTTAGATAGATTATATTCTCACCACATAGTTTTTTAATTAGGCGTTATTAAATATCTTTTTGATAGAAAAGTGAAAAGTCAGTTTGCGGAATTGAGTCACTACGTATTGGGATCTCAAAGTATGATTTAGGTTCCTCGTATGACTAGCAATCCGAGAGTGGCTATAAAGTGTGCCTTGACTTATTAATTGCTTTGTACAAGGCATAATTTTGCAAAGAAAAAGTCTTGTGAAACTAAATACGTCTCCACAATGGCACCTCAAGTATACATTTGGTTTCCATGATAAATCTGAACAAAGTAGATTTACAAAATGAAATGAATTTCAAAGCGCATGAGTTGCCTGTAAGAATACACCTACTCGAAACAAACTTACTTGAGACTCTTCTTAACAATAAGTGTAAGTATTAATAGAGAGACCACGCTGTGTGTATTTTTACTGTTAAAACTCTAGATAGGTTGACAACTTCAATGGAGCTTTTAATACTTAAATGGACAGAACCTCTAAATATTGTCAGACCAAATCAAAATAAATTAACTACCTCTAACCTGCTTAGGACGTATTTCTCTACTAATTACGAACTGTCGCTTCAGGGATGACCTGCGTCTGCCCTGAAATTCTGACGACATATCAAAACAACGTGAGAAAACTCGGTTGTTTTTCGCCAATTTGTGGCGCAGACCAAAAGTCTCTTTGACAATTGAAAGGATGAGCATACTGCGGAGCAGTTTGCTCCGTCCTACTTTATGACTGTGGGATGAAGCCTTTCAAATTCTTGTCGGTGACATTTAGGCTACTAGTGTTCAATCATAGGTGTATCCAAAACATGGCTCAGAATTATCTGCAATGAGGCAGGCGTATCTACACTTTGTCTTCTCTCAGGTCGTAAGTTTATGAGAAGTACATGTTCCGGTAGAATCACTATATCATAGCATGCGAATCAGAAATATAAATCACACAATCTTCAAGTCTAAACTCTTTCCAAGTCATGAACGTTTCCTCTCCACATATGATCGCATCTGCCGTTAAGTTACTGAGTCACATTATAGATTTTTTTTATCATTGCACTGGTTCATGTTTTCTACACCCTCTCATATGACCACTAATATTGTAACAACCTCTATTATCCTAGGGTTTCTAGTGAGAATTTCATCCCCTCTGTGATAATGTGTGGCAACTTGGACCAATGTATACATAAGTCAGGATCAACGTGGGTTGTAACTGGCTTAAGAGATCTGGCTGTGAATACCTGTAGATATCTAATATCGCCCCCTCTTCAAATGCTCTTTTAAGAATGCGTTAAGAAGTCAACAAGACGAGAAACGACACTGAGAGCAACAGGAAATCTAAAAATGAGGAGTAAAGATTGAAAGGAACATGTGATTGAAGGATTGGACTTTAAGATCGATACTTGACTAAAGGTTAAGATGAAAGTACAAAATGAATACGACTGAAACCTATTTCGCGACGTCATTCAACATCGCCAGTCACTAATGGCGTGTTGAGTCCAAAAGTTAGTGATTCCATGGGGTGATACTTTGCTTTGACTTTTCCACCCATAGTTCTTTAAAAGTTTACTGTACTGGCCGACATCGTGCTTAGGTCTCACTGTCGATGACCGTACTGTGGTGGCATTAAGGTTTTTCACCAATAACTAGCATCTTCAGCGATCCAATTTCCTTGCAACGAGAGGAGGGCAGGGAAAATCCGGTGCTAAAATGACGAATTATTTCCAGTTTAGTATACTAACTAAGTGATCACTATTATAAAACTACGAATAATTCTGGATAAGCTTTGGCTCTGCAGACTTGATAGGTATCATAAGCCATACTACAGTTTTCCTTATGCGTTTCAGGATCCAATCCTGCAAGTGATTTTAAATAGTAGGATAATTACCAATATAAATGATATGGGTTTTCACGTCTGGTCGTGAGTGAAGTGAAACAAATTATATATCAATCTTAGAATTGTGTACTCACTTGAAGTCCCCTTTCCCGATATATATTTCCTCGTTACTTTTAGTGCATGACGTGGATAATAACTAACTTTTAACGATAAAATTTCAATTCCGTAGATATTTTGAGACTGGAAACATGTAAAATAAGTCTTTGGTTTATTATTGCTAAGTACAAGCATGTAGTTTGGAGTATAGGATGCAACTATTTCATTGTTTGTACGGGTTGTATAGAATAAATACAAATCCTATGAGTGTAAGGCACTCATAAGTTTGCCATTTGAGACCCTCAAAATAAAATGGACGTACCAGTAAACTTCTAATGTCTTGGTATACAAATTTAACCTCCGGGTATAAAACAAGTTCAATGTTTAAAAATCTGTTTACATTCATGAGTACATCCTTAGGGCTGGTTAATTTTTTAGATGGTTTCTAATTCGAAAATATTTAACCATATTTTGTGATACATGAATGACCATCGCTCATTGAACCTTAGTACACTGAAGTTTACAAAATGTCATAGTAGTTATAGATTCGCGTCCGAAGCGAGGTGCTAAAAACTCAGACTGAAGTAGGGAAACAAGTCACCAAGCCTTTTTTTGCAAAAGATTCATGAGTACCAATTTTGTATTTGACATTAAAAATGAAGAAACTGGTCTATACAATTCATTTGCAAAAGGGTTTTAGTTTTACTACTTATATTACACAAACTAATTTGTAATCTGAATTTGGTTTTGTCTCAACTTTTGCAATTGATCTTTTAGTCGAGTGATAAGGGCTGGAAGTCCCACTGATAGTTGATTGTCCACGCATTTTTGAGAACACGCTAGTATTTCACGTTGAGCATTCTTCAGCTGTGACTCAGATGCATTTGAAGGTAACTTGTCCCGCGCTTGATTGGCGCATTCAGAAGCACACAGTTGTAATCTTGCCTAAGCAATAAAAAAATTTTTTTCATCTGTGAATCACATCACCTGCTTCCGATTACTAAGTAAATACAATCAAGCCTATTTACCAACTACATTATTACACTACGTGAACGTAAAGACATTAAAAACAGCCACTTACATCGTTTTGTGTCCACCGAAAACCAAGGGTGTATAAGAGAACTTCGGGAAGACACGTTAAACGATTTAATCAGTAACTATTCAAGAAAAAGGGACGCTATAAAAGATAGGATCTACCATGAAGACACATGCATATATCGTTTGTGTGCTGAAGTCAAGCTTTCTCCTATGGATAACCAAAGCTTTTAACGCTCTAAGATGTTGCAGCCAAAGAAAATTTAAAATACGTGTAAAAACTGAAGTCAGTATACGAGTTAGTTTGATGGCCAAGCTCAATTGCAATCAATAATAAAACTTCTAACCGCTTTGCTCCCGTTCTTGATGGGTTTTATGCTTGCTGAAAGTGTGCTGACTTCAATTAATGTACAGTGTTGTACGGGAAAAGGTGAAAAGATGAAGGCAAGATGAACAATCTTATTTCTCAGAAAAGTTTGCAGCTTATTGAGGTTTGCCCCCGAAAGCCCTGGTACGGCCGAGAGTGGAGAGAGTCTGCTATCCCTCTCGAAATGCTCTCACACGGCCACGCGTATATATAGCCTCTGCCAGGGAAGTCCTACTCACTGCCTTCTCGTGGCATTACTGTTGTTTACGAAAGTGAGAGGACGAAAAGCGAATGTCCGGCGCTATAACCGGGTTGGTGGACACGGAGGGTCCACCTAGGGGAGTTGGAAAACCCTGATTCCAAACCAATGGTGCACATGGGCTCCAGTATCCTGATGGAACGCATGGCGAATGAACCTGTTGTTGGTCACCGGCTACCATGGAACTGCATCTCCTGACTATGCTCCACTGCCTTGTGGATTAGACCTCTAGGTCAAAGGCTCGGGGTGTGGCCCCCTAAGAAAACCATCTGTTTCGGTTTGGGCACCCGGGCAGTATCACAGCCCTTTCGCAAATAAATGAAATGGAACATTCAACTGACAATTATATTCTCGTTCATACTAGAAACAATCCAATTTGTAATATTACTATTTACCATATCGCTAATTCACCCCCTTTTATTCACAATTTGTGTAACCTTACTTTTCAACTTATGCAGCAGCTCGCTCTTGGTGGAAAATCTGTCCTATCTAAACGATCTCCAGTCACTGTCTGGTTGAACTTGAATGCTTCTACTGAATACGAATACTGAACCAGCTTTTCTGAAACCACGTACGCCGTTCAAGCTGGCTTCCTTCAACGTTCGCACACTAATGCAGATCAGACAATAGATAGGGCTGGCTATGTTTTTGGAAAATCTTAATGTTGAAGTTTGTTGTCTACCTGAGACTCGTATTCAAGACTATAGTGAAGTACTACAAATCCACTCTCCATCTGTCGCTTCGAAAAGCTTGTTTCACGTGCGTTTATGCGGGACCCTGTAGCATCTTCGTCTGGTCTTGCCGGCGTTGGTGTCGCTCTAAGCGAATTGGATCCCCGTTGATAGTCGGTTATGCACTGTTGGATTAGAAAGTTCGATCAAAGTGAGAAGAAATCGGCGTGAGAAATGATGTCTTTTCGTCATCTCCGCCTATGCCCCGACAGATTGCAGCCCGGATGCAATCAAGGATGAGTTTTACCATCAGTTAACAGTTCTTCTCCAGAAAGCGCGTTCGACGGATATTGTAGTACTAGCCGGAGACTTGAATGCACAAGTCGGGCGTCTAGGCACAGAAGAGAGTCGTTTAGGTGGCCGATGGGGACTTCTTGGTCGCAGGACAGATAACGGGGACCGTTTGCTGCAACTGTGCACAGACCACAACCTGTTTCTGGCCAGCACTAACTTCCGGTACAGTCATCGCCGGTGTGCTACCTGGCGTCCTCCCTCTGCATACCAAGCCTGGACTCAGATTGATCACATCGCGATCAGCTACCGCTGACGTGGTTGTGTACAAGACTACCACTACTTTTGGAGTACCTATCTGGAGTCTGATCATGCCCTGGTTTGCGCCAATCTCACCTTACTTTTCAGTGGCCGAAGGACTGACCACCATCAACGGATCGATGTTAGTAAACTGGCTGCAACTTCTGTTGCAAGTAAGTATCGAGCGGAGCTAGCTTCTAGGTTAGCTACCATCCCACCGAAAAGTATAGATGAGCATTGGTTGCATCTTCACGACGCCATGAAAATGGCGAGTAAAGCCGCTTGCGGCTTCGCGAAACGTCCCGCTTACAAGCACTGGGTTTCTTCTGACTCCTTACAACTGATGGAAGCCCGTCCGTCTACTCCGGGTGACCGTGAGTATGACCACAAACGAAGGCTGTTACGTAATGAAATTGGGCAAAGCTTGCGTAAGGACAGAGAAGACTGGTGGTTGAAGCGTGCTAATGAGATGGAGTCAGTCAGCTACAACGTAGGATCAGGCACATATATGCATCGGTCCAAGTTGCCATACCTCGTTAGCATAACAAGATGAACACCGGATTCACAGTTGTTAATTTAGTGTTGGTAGTAGTATATAAGTTATAGGTTGTATATAAGGATATAGTACAGGAAGGAAGAGAGATATGAAGCAATTTTTGTCTCAAGGTTTAAGGGAAGATAAAGAGTGTATACACATACGCCATTGTGATCGATTCTGAGCCATGTCACCCAGAGTCTCCAACCATTGGTTACGATAGTCACGCGGACCCCAACCAGGTAGTCTGCATCTGCTAACATGGCTCAGACTAGAAGTTAGTGATATCAAACACTGATGCCATGTTTCGGTTTGGCCGCCCCTAACTCTCTTCCAACCATCCCCAACACTAGTCATCATAGCGCGTCGTGGTAATCGGTGTTCAGACATACGTAACACGTGGCCTAACCATCTCAGTCGATGAAGATTCATCACCTAATCAACTGATTTACCATCGTTCCCTAATACCCTGCGTCTAACCTCACTATTACTTACCCGGTTATCCGAGCAGATGCGAGCAATATTTCCAAGGCATCTGTGGTCAAATACTAGTAGCCTACGAGTATCTTTTACTCTTAATGGCCATGTTTCACAGCCGTAAAGTAGAACAGAGCGAACTGATGCGTAGTATACTCGTCCCTTAATTGATAGACGGATATCTCGTCTTCGTCATAGGTGACGTAAGTTGGCAAAAGCCAAACGAGCTTTTTGAATCCGTGCTGAGATTTCGTCAGACACCAACCCATTAGGGCTGATCAGACTTCCAAGATAAGTGAAGTTGTCGACGCGTTCGACTACTTCACTCTCTATCCTTAGTTCGGGTGTTGACGCAGGCCAGTCCTGGAGTAACAATTTACATTTGCAGTAGCTGAAGGCCAGCTAAACTGCTCCTTAAAGTGTTCCGCCCATCGTCCTAAACGTTTGGGTTGAGAGCAGATAAGGGTTCCGTCTTTTTCCGAGATTGTCTCACTTACACTTGACTTCTTAATTCCGGTTTCTTTTATTAGTCTGAATAGTTGCCTGGTGTTCCCTACAGCCGCTGCCTTTTCCATCTCTTTTGCTTTCGTTGCCCACCACTGCTCACGATCGTTCCTTAGACTTTCAGTTAACCTAGATCTAATTTCTTTACGCTCTTCTTCATGTTCAGAGCCTGATGGGATGAGTTTATGCGAATCCATCAGTGAAATAGAGTTAGAAGAAATCCATTGGTTTTTTGGAGCCCTATGGTTTAAATGACTAATAGATATTACTGCTGTTTCCACAGCTGTTCGTATGTCTTTCAAAGCAGCATCTGTGTCAGTCTTGTTTACACAACTGCCTAGATGTAAACTCAGTTGTTTCTGGAATTCGCATTTGGCTTTCTCATCCTCCAGTTCAATCCTAATGGGTCTTCTTAGTGTACTTCTCCTGCGTCCATTGAGGCGCAGACAAATGCGCGCTCGTATTAAGGCATGATCAGAGTCTAAACAAGTATTCCAATACAAGCGACAATCTTCTATTGAGCCTCTCCAACGATGACTGATGACAATATGGTCTATTTGAGTCCATCGTTGGTTTGGTGCAGGTGGTCGCCATGTTAGACGATGTCTCTCCTTATGCTTAAAATTAGTTTGCTAAAAATAAACGATTGTCTGAGCATAGTTGCAACAGACGATCACCATTATCGGTTCGTTGAGCCGGCATACTAAAACACCCACCTAAATGTCTTTCTGTTTGGTTTAAGCTACCTAATTGGTCTTTAAAGTCACTCGCTACGACTACTATGTTTGAGCGCTTAGCTTTCTGAAGAATCTCAGAGAGCTTTCTGTAAAAGTCATCTTTCACTTCATCATGGCTGCAGTCAGTGGCAGGGTAGGCAGAAACGATGTGTGCCCCTATCCTTCCGAGTTCTTACGGAGCCATTTAGCCGGACAGCACACAGGCGACTGTTAACGGGGATCCATTCTAGTAGTGCCTGTTCTGCCCTTGTACTTAGTGCTATGCCTACACCTGTAAGTCCGCGAGAACTAGCCAACGGGTCGCCAGATACACGGAGGGTGTATTTCGTTGGCTGTCCATTTTGGCGAGGTGAGGTCAAGTGAATGACCACACTGGGATCCTGTATGCGTGTTTCGGAGACACAGAATACATCAATGGTACGAGATTCTAGGGTTTCAGCTAAGGAGGCCTGTTGACCGATTTGGCATAGGGTACGTACGTTGAAGGCTCCAATGTGCAGTTTGGAGAGAGGTTTTAGTAGACCTGGGACAGCGTTTCGCGCACTAGAATCGTTGGCCATGGTGACACTTGAGGAGGAAACCGAGAGAGGAAGTTTAGTGTTGAAAGTCAAGGTAGAAGGAATAGTAGGAATTGAAGAAGGAGATTGATTATGAATACAGTGGTCTTGAGTGCTGTTAGAGGTATGAGGGCAGTTATCACTTCCCGGTTGCCCACACCGTGGAAGGGTTCTTCTAGAGGTACCTGAAAAGGAAATTGGGTTAGAAGTGGTCTTAATGACCTGAGAGCATGACCGCAATGTCCAAGGGACAACTGCTTGAGGTCGGTCACACACGACCTTTTCGTGTTAGCTCTGTTCTTCAAAAAACTTTACCGCCGGAGACAGATATCCATGGGATAAGGTGAGGTGTGCATTTTTAGGGTCGACCTTTTCTAACCCCACCCCTCCTTGTGGGAAGGCAGCATCTCTGTCATGTTGGTTGTCTGAAGGAAACACCTTACTGCTGTCACACATCTGTACAGTCAGCAGTACGACTTCGCCTTCGGACCTTGGGTATGCTGCGAATGTCCGGCGCTTTAACCGGGTTGGTGGACACGGAGGGTCCACCTAGGGGAGTTGGAAAACGCTGATTCCAAAGCAATGGTGCACATGGTCTCCAGTATCCTGAAGGAACAAATGGCGTATGAATCAATCGTTGGTCACCGGCTACCATGGAACTGCATCTCCTGACTATGCTCCACTGCCTTGTGGATTAGACCTCTAGGTCAAAGGCTCGGGGTGTGGCCCCCTAAGAAAACTACCTGCTTCAGTCTGGGCACCTGGGCAGTATCACAGCTCTCACACAAATCGAATGAGATTTGTGAGGCGCATATTTATCTGGTGCTTCATTGTACCAATATTTATGTGTTTAAATAAATAAATAAAATGCTGCTTTTAGTCTCACCGCTATTCAACCGACCTGTCTGGCATGGTAGGACCTCGAGGAACGATTGTTCCAGCCAGATCGATTGCTTCATCAAGATAGGCAAGCCCGACCACCACGTCAAGGTAGCAGCAACGGTCGGGAAAGCAGCAGCTGCATCTGGTAACTGCCGGAAGCTCTTCCAACTCATCCGAGCCACTGGCAGCAAGAAGTCTGGTGTGAGTGAAACAATCTACGAGGATGATGGGATGCCAATCACTAACATCTCTCGACGTCTTGGACGATGGGAGGAATTCTTCGAAGGGCAGTTCAACTGGCCTGCTGCTCCGGCAACATCAACCAGTTTGTCCTGCCCCCCCCCATGACCGGTGACGACTGATCCATCAAACGAGGCGGAAGTCCGCAAGGAACTCCAACTCTTGAAACGCTACAAATCACCTGGCCCAGATGACTTACCTCCGGCTCTTTTTAAAGATGGTGGTGACTTTCTGGCTAAGGAACTGACGGTGTTGTTTGCAAAGGTTTGGGAGGAAGAAAGTGTTCCAACATCTCGGAATGAGTCGATAGTCGTCCATATCTTTAAAAAGGGTTCACGTCGTTCCTATAACAACTATCGGGGGATAAGTCTACTTCCGATTGCGTCCAAACTATTGGCTTCTATCATTCTTCGTAGGTTGTTTAAAACCCGAGAACGATTGACTCGCGAGGAGCAGGCTGGTTTCCGTTCTGATCGAGGATGCATTGATCACATCTTCACCCTCCGCCAAATGTTGGAACACCGTCATACTTATCGCAGGCCAACAATCGTAGTGTTTCTTGATATCAGGGCCGCCTTCGATTCCTTGGACAGGACTGTTCTCTGGGATTGTTTATTGAAGAAGGGTGTGCCTGAGAAGTTCAGTAACATCTTAAAGGCCCTGTATACGAACACCTCAGGCAGAGTGAGGGCATACAACCACCTTTCTCCCTTGTTCCATTCGAGCAGTGGGGTTAGGCAGGGTTGCCCAATCTCACCATTCCTCAACTTTGCTATCGACGACATCCTGGAAACAGCTCTGATGGATGTAAGTAATGGCGGTGTGGATCTGCTGCCTGGAGAACGACTTCTCGACCTTGAGCATGCGGATGATATTGCCTTACTGCGCCCAAGCCATGCAATCCACACTTAATCAGTTAGCAATCAGTGTCCGCAGAAACGGCATGTGCTTTGCACCCTCCTAGTGCAAAGTACTTCGACGAGACTGGCAGAATTCTAATCCTGCACTCAGCCTGGATGGTGAGCAGATTGAAGTAGTTGAGAAGTTCGTGTATCTAGGTAGCTACATAAGTGCTGGTGGTGGCGTGAGTGATGAGATTGATGCACGTATAATGAAAGCAAGAGCGGCTTATGCTAATCTGGGCCATCTTTGGCGCCTTCGTGATGTTAATCTGGCTGTAAAAGGTCGGATCTACAACGCGTCGGTGAGAGCAGTTTTGCTCTATGCTTGTGAAACCTGGCCTCTCCGAGTTGAGGATGTTAGACGTCTCTCTGTGTTCGATCATCGTTGTCTCCGAAGGATTGCTGAAATATATTATTATTATTCAGTGGCAACACCATGTTAGTAATGCAGAGGTTCGGCATCGTGTGTTCGGGCGCAGAGACGATAATTCAATTGGTGTCACCATCTTTAAACACCGACTTCGGTGGCTTGGACATGTTTTACGAATGTCGTCCCAGAGGCTTCCACGTCGTGCATTATTTGCCGACTCCGGGACTGGCTGGAAAAAGCGGAGAGGAGGTCAGTGTATGACATGGTGTCGTGGCATAAAAAAGTGCTGCAAAGGGCTAGCTTCCGTTGGTCCTTCACGACTCCCTGGCCGGGGTCCGAGAGATAGTGCAACACAGTGGCTAGAGACGATATCAGATATGGCTCAGAGTAGAAGCCAGTGGCGGTCCTGCTGTAACCTTCTTCTACTTTCTTCATAAAGAGTGGCTATAACTTTCCTAACTGAGAGCTCTTCTAGTTGTACATTCAAGTCCCCCCATCACTACTCTTCTCCTTTCTTTTATATATACGCATCTTCTTCCTTCTCCCATTCTCATTATTTTGTGTGGCGCATATGTATCCGGTGCCCTTTGTACCGATATATATGTCATTAAATAAAATAATAAATAATATTGAGGTTTGCCAAAACATAAGTGGAAATTACGTGTTTTAAACCCTTTTCTTAAACAGACGGCTCGTAGGCACTACTTGTTTGATCTGGTATAAATTGAAAGTCTACATGGACTATGAAGAGACTCAATTTTAGAGCTTGAATGTTCACAAGTCTAGATAATCCAGCGAGAAGATGAAGTTTGTCATTAAGATGTAATAAATTAGCAAAATGGGTGTAAACCAATTTGATTATATAGATTAATCAAACCTCAGAGTAGTCTATGGAGAACACTTAGGTTTGCTGAAACCTTAGTAAAAAAAGATGAAAATCCCTCTATTTCTTTGAAGACGATGTGTACTTACGCTAAACTTACATTTGTAGTATCGATTTAATCTTGTACGGTTTATATTGTTTTTCTGATGCTCTAGTTTGATTTTTAATTTTCATACAAACATCCTTACAGGTTATTATGTGATCCAACTGTTAAAAATATGCTGTATGGATAGAGAACTTAGTTCTGACGAACTGTAACTTTGTATTGCATCTTATAAATTGACTAAAAGAGACAAGGAGTTGATAAATCTGCGAAAACTGGACGCAAAAGAGATCCCCTCACAATTTGATATTCAATTTTACGCAAATTATTTTCAAATTTGAACTGGACATTAAGGATGGATTACGGCGAGATCGCAACGAGGCAAATGTTTAATAATCATGTCTATGTCATGAGTATAACAGATAAAGCTTTGTAAACGGAGAGCAAACTTTGAGTGGAAACGGAAGTATCGGTATTTTTTTATACTCGTAAGAAAGTGCATCATAATTATTATAAGCTAGTACTTCCTAATCAACTCAAATATTTTAGCATGTCATTGGATGATTTGGTTGTACAAGAGACCAAATATATTCAAAACCTGTTATTTAAGTTTATTAACTCTTGGTAATTCATATGAAAGTACCTAAGGACCGCGTGTGTTTATTTTATTATTTACTTACTTAATCACATATATATATTGGTACAAAGGGCACCGGATACATATGCGCAACACTATTTATTTGCGTGAGGGCTGTGATACTGCTCGGGTGCACAAACCGAAACAGATGGTTTTCTTAGGGGGCCACACCCCGAGCCTTTGACCTAGAGATCTAATCCACAAGGCAGTGGAGCATCGTGAGGAGATGCAGTCCCATGGTAGCCGGTGACCAACGATTGATTCATACGCCATTTGTTCCTTCAGGATACTGGAGACCATGTGCACCATTGCTTTGGAATCAGGGTTTTCCAACTTCCCTATGTGGATCCTTCATATCCACCAACCCGGTTAAAGTGCCGGACATTTGCTTTTCGTCCTCTCAATTTCGTAAACAACACCCCCGCCACGAGAAGGCAGTGAGTTTGCGCAAACCAAAAGTAACTGAGACGTCGTTTTCAATGATTTTACTATTTCTGTATGTTTTTCCGAACCACATCAGATCAGGCAGAACCTCCTTCATCAGGTTAGTTTAATAACAAATCAATGGACTCAACATTTAAAGCTGTTTAGTTTGATTTATAATCAAAAAATTACTAGAAATTAATCATGGTATAATGAGTTGGTAACAGTCTAAACGATCAGAGAGGATCCATTTTGATTAACGAATCTTTTCATATCGTAACGCATTGTTTGTTTACTAGTTTTATAACTATTTTTTAGCCTTATACACCACATAAATGTTTGAAAACCATTCCCACTTATTTACAGTAAAATCCCTTCTAGATATTCATCTCAGAGTACGAAGTGCATTGAAAAACTGGCTTTTAAACACCTTACATGCAGATGTTTTAAAAGATACAATAAATTAAATTGGTGCAGCCATTTGCAAAGTCAAAACTTCTTACTTGGAATGAGGAGACCTCAGATTGCATTATTTCATGTGCTTGACTTAACGGAATTTCGCACCTTTCTACGCAACGCTGCACTTCAGTAACAGAGGCATCAGGATCCGCACAGCACTTTAAACCGCACTGAAAGTAGTTGGCCTATATGTTATTAGTAAGTAACTTATTGCTAACCTGTATTTTGCGGAGATAAGCAATATCCAGGTTACCTAATTCTTTTTCAATGGCATTGTGATAATCAGTTTGTAATCTGTTGATATCACGTTGAAGCTATAAAATAAACATTTTGAAAAAAGGAACTTCAAGGAAGAAACTGATTAACATGGGCGATCAAGTTTAGTTATCAATGACTAAACCAAAATGTTTCTTACTTGGAAGTACTAACGTACTTTGCATGTGTAGTTTTAAAACAATGGCAGCCTAAATAAGGAGCAAACTTAGTACAGGTAACTGTAATTTTTGATTTAGAGATCAGAATCAATATAATATTCCTGTGCTATCTGATTATTTTTTGCTGATAGTGTAAGTTCACGCTATTCAATAACTTGTCGTAAGTAATAAATCTATTTACTGTAGTAAAAACCTAAGGTTCTTATAACTACACAGTTCTGTGATATCTCAATAAAAAAGTAGCATAAGCAATTTCGGACTTTTTAATTTACTATTTCTAGTGATTTAAGTCTGTCCATTTAGTATGTAATTTGGAATCCCAGCAAAAGTTATTTGTTATATATTTTAAATGCATTTTTAATAGGGAGGAAACGATGAGTGAACAAGCAATTACGAAAACAAATGTGCTTTTCACTTTATAGATATGACCCATTTTGAAGTGCTGAGTTTAGAGTTTATAGATAATAGTAAATTATTTGGGAAATTGATAAAGTTTGGTGTAAAAATGTGTCATATATATGAATTAAAATAACAAAGGTGATGTAATTATGACCCGTAGAAACAATGAATAAACGAGAAACACACAGAGGCATGTAACATTTGAATCAATGGGATAGAACAAATCAGTGAAGCTTAACCAAATATCGCTTAGGAAAAAATAGAACTACGAGACTAAGTCAAAAGCAACATAAGCTAGTGCATATTAACCGTGAATTTCGAATGATCGGGTGACTACGAAAATCTGACTTATTCAGTTGCCTAGATCGCTTTCGGGCTGAATCATAACAATGCTACGGTGAATAAAGACTGGAGACATGTGCATCTTCTAAATAGAGAATGAAAGTTTCCGTCTGATTTTAAGGCATTTATAAAATGAATCTAGACAAGTTTGGAAGTAAATACTATTAGTATTTGACCCTACTATGAAAGGCTAGACTTTCAATAATTATTGTTCTGAATTTTAGCCATTCTAAGTCGTGCACTAGATTTCCTATCTAATTATACTTTGAAGTGAGTTATTGTTGTCACTTTTTTAATCCATCAAGCGAATTAGGGCCAAGGGAGGGTGAGAGCTTTGACAAATCGTTTCCGCACGCAAAGTTGGGACTTGAGTTCTTGGATTGTCAATGCCTAAGCAGTGCATAGAATATTGATTCGACCCCCCCCCTTCCGATCCGGTTCCTTTGACTCTATAGATTACTGAAGAAATTCAGAGCCATTGAATAGCCTTTAGTACCATAAAAAGCATAGTTGAGAAGTGTTTCTTTCCCTCTAAATGTTAGATATTGCTTCGGAACTATTCTACGTCAACGCCTGAACTAACGATAGGAAAAATGCACCGACCACTTCAATTATCTCAGAAGTCTCATTATAAGTGGAGGGTTGATATTTAATGAAATCTCGGCACGGATTCAGAAAGTTAGGTTAGCTTTTTTAAAATTACGTTACTTGTAGTGTACGAGAAATGTTTTTTTCTATCTTCCGAAGGGCGAGTAGAGTGTGTAGCGGTTCTCTTCGTATTAGTTTATCACTGTAAAACATAGTCCATGAAAGCAGAAGACAGAAGTAGGCTACAAGCTTTAGGTAAGAGGTATCTTTAAAGCATTGCTGGTGTATCGTACAACGTGACTTATGAAGCTGGGACATGTTATGCATTTCTGACGATTTCCCACATAGATGCGAAATGATTAATGGGTTAGGGCGGAGTTAAAGGAAGTTAGAGCGGCCAAATCAATAGTAAGGATCAGTCTATAAGATCATAAACCGTTAGATTGAGTCAATTTAATCTGTGGAAGCTACCTGACTAAGGCCTACCCAATACTCGTAATTAATGACTGACAACGTTGGAAAACACATCACAAAATCAGTCTCAGACTTATTCGTTTTGTACTTTTCTTCAGACCTTTAGTCAAGCATTGATCCTAAAGTTACATCTTTTAACCACATGTTATTTCCTATTCTTATTCCTTACGTCTAGATTTCTATTGCTTTCAACATTACTTTCCGTTTCTGACCCTGTTTATTTTCTCTTGCTGTGCTGCAAAGTTTGGCGACTTTGACTAGTGCATATGTGTGTCAGGTCCTGCTTAGATATTAGCTGACTGACTAGTATGGATTAGGATTTCTGAGTCAGGAGCTTTGTTATGGTAGTGGCTGTTAACAAAACGCTTACCGAATCTGAAAGTTTATCCATTTAACGTTTAATTGTGAAATATACAGATGGGACCTTTGACACAATCCAACAGATACTTGTCGATTCGGCTGATAACCGTAGAAGTTTCAGGGACTAGTGAAGAACACTAGGTAATCTAAAACTGGAAAAAAAACTAGTAAAATGCATGCACAAAATCTTCATTAATTACTGAAAAGTAAAAATCGATAGTGGCGACTTCCTGATAAAAAAACTCAAATTTTAAAAAAATTAATTGGTCAGCTGCTAACAATACTCCCAGTAAACTATTCTTCAATTAAGAAAATGATGTCTTATGTTTATAGAATGCAACAATGCTGTTACACAGTCTTGTTGGTAGTGCAAGTTAGCAAAATATTTAGCGTTCGGTCAGTTCTCATTGGTAATGACAGTGAAAATGAGTGACACCTGGAGGAATGTAACGTAACTCATTAACAAAGCGGATAGGTGGCACAGATAATGCAATAAGACGATCTTCCTGCATTAAAACTCAGTTAAGATGGTCACATAAAGGGAAAAGCAATGATCTCCTATACAACACATGTATCAACCAAATCACACTTGATGGAGAAGCTTTGGATGATGTAAAAACCTTTACATATCTGGGCATCATTGGTGGGCACGGTGGATCTGATGCTGATGTGAAGGCGCAAATCGGCAAAGCAAGAGCAGCATATCTACAACCGTAGAACATCTGGAACTCAAAACAATCTTCAACCAACACCAAGATTAGAATTTTAAATACAGATGTCAAGACAGTTCTACTGCATGAAGCGGAAACTTGGAGGACTACGAAAGCCATCAATCAGAAGATGTGTTTATTAACAGTTGTCTACGCAAGATACTTTGGATCCGTTGGTCAGACAATATCAGCAACATTCTACTGTGGGAGACAACAAACCAGATTCCAGCGGAGGAAGAAATCAGGAAGAAGCGCTGAAGTGGATAGGACACACATTGAGGAAAGCAGCTAACTGCGTCACAAGGCAAGCTCTTCCTTGAAATCCTCAAGGCCAAAGGAGAGGACGAAAACCAAAGAACACATTGCTCCCAGAAATGGAAACAGATATGAGATGGACAACAACTGGATAAAACTAGGAAGGAAGGCCCAGGACAGTGTGTTGGAGAATGCTGGTCAGCGGGTTATGCTCCATTGGTGATAAGAGGCGTAAGTAATTAGGTGAGTAAGATGGTCACGACAGTTAGGTTTACTTTTAGAAGACGCCATAAATTCTTAGCTAAAACACATTCACCTTGAAATCCTACGTAAAATCGTAATACAGAAAGCAACTATTTTGAGTGTAAATGATTCGAAGTGAGCAACTTAATGGAAGTAAACAATTTTCTTAACATAGTACCGTAATGACACATAAATATATAGGACTGGATCTTGGAGATCATACATCAGAGTTTCATACAACTCAGAATAGATGCCAGTGAAAATTAAAATAAAGTACTCTATAGGATTTATTATTAGGGTCAGACAAACTTTAACCAAGCGTCTATTTTGGTCGTATTTGCAAAAAATTCTTAATATTACTGTTTTGTTCATTCACGACCTTTATCGCTTTAAGTTTACCACAATATCGAAGCACATAACCGGAGTTTTCAGCTGGACTAGGAAAAACCGATTACAGACCCCACGAGTTGTATTTGAATCCATGTATCTTTTTTGTCTAAAGAAAGGAGCCCTATGGTCGCTTAGATGTTTTTCTATACATGCCCAACAAAGTTGCTCAGCCTGTTATAAGCTACAATGGAGCAAAGTAGTTATGTATAGTTGATGGATGAGTATTATAATACTGTACTATAGTATAGCAAAGGCTATTAAAGATATTTTAGACCAGAATATTTCGGACGCTAGGTCCAAGGTTGTTAGTAGGAAGTCTATACATTACTAGAAATCACTACTAATCCCAAAATGGAGTGACTGAAGTAATATTGAAAAAAGGATAACATAGTAAAGAATTAAGTGACCCCAACACATTATCAGTTAGATTTGATAAGGCCAGAACCACTTCACTAATCTCAGTACCCGACCGTAGCTGCTACCTTGAAGCGGTGGTCGGGCTTGCCTATCGTGATGACACAACCGAGCTATATGGGCTGGAACATATGTTTCTGTAGGTTCTACCATGCCAGGCAGGTCGATTGGAGAACGATAAGACTATAAGCATCAATTCAAGGTCTGAGGGCGAAGTCGTACTGCCGACTGACAGCAGTAAGGTGATTCCCTCGGACAGTCAGCATCTGCAGTGATGCTACCTTCTCACAAGGAAGCAGGAGTTTAGGAAAGGTCGGCCCTAAAAATGTCACACCTTACCTCACGGATGTCCGTCTCCGACGGTAAGGCCCTTTGAAGAACGGAGCTAACAGGTCAAAAGTCCACCACAAAAAGGCTGTGAGTGACCGGCCTCAAGCAGTTGTCCCTTGGGCACTGCGGTCACGCTCCCAGGTCGTTAAGACCAATACTGATCCAACTTCCTCTTCAGGTTCCTCAAGAAATATCCTACCACGGTGTGGGCAGCCGGGAAGTGACATAAGCCCTTTAAACCCGTAACAGCATACGAGACTAAGTTGGTCACATTCAAATTCTTCCTACACCTCCTAATAACTCTCTTATCTCCACGACTAACCATTCTCACATCCTTTGATTACCTTGGACCGCTAGAGCAAACGATTCGAGTACACGGAACGTTATTCCTGGTCTTCTGAAACCACGCTCTAAACGGTAGGATTAAACTATACTGCCGACCTTTGAACGAATCTTAAATGACCTTGACAAATATTAGCCAATCAGAAGACAGTTAGTATACAGTAAAAATATATTATACATAATTAAAGTGGAAACACTTCTTCATGTGATAACCCAAACAACCAATAAAGGCGAACAAAGGGGAAATAAAGCGGAAAATGCATTGGAAAATAAGTCGTAAATAAAGGGGAAATGCATCGAAATGTCTGCTTTTTCGCCTGTCCGGGGGAAATAAAGCGTAATTTCCCCTTTCTGTCGCTCTGTTTTTCAAATGTCTCTAAATTACCGATTTCTCCCCTAAATATCCGACGAATAACCGACTTTTCCCCTAAATAGCCGACTTTTCCCCTAAATAACCGACGAATAACCGACTTTTCCCCTAAATATCCGACGAATAGCCGACTTTTCCCCTAAATATCCGACGAATAGCCGACTTTTCCCCTAAATATCCGACGAATAGCCGACTTCTACCTTCAATATCCGCTACATTCACTGCTTTTCCACTACATACACACTAATGCATTTACCGCTACCGCCTCCTGTGTTCGCTTTCATTCCCACAACACAGCACACGAATAATGTAAAGTACGTAAAATATGGTATATATACCATTTTGGAAATTATAATTTCCAAATTTTTATTGAAAACAAAAACTTCAATGTACAAAGTAATGAGCAGTTGGCAGATGGTAGAGTATCAATGCTCCATATGTAATTGTCATTGTCACGGACCAGGCATTTCACGTATTCTTTATTTCCACCAGGCCTGTTGTACTATGGAAAGTCAAACAATTCTTGTGAATTCTGAAATGTGATAAAGAAAAACGTTATTGAATCTAGGAAACTTGTTTTGCACAACAAGGTACTTGGATCTGGACTTACGGTTATATCCTTGATTACGAAAGACTGTTCCTATAGATAATGAAAAAACAGTAATCACTTTAAAGCCGTACATACGTGTTCCTTGTTACGTCGATGACGCTTCTGGACTTTGTCTCTCATGTCGTGGAAATAACTTTGAGTAGCCATGTCATAGAGTTTCGCAAGGTCTTTCTCGTTGATAGATGACGACAGGAAACGATTAGTCAGTGCACCTAAAGTTTAAAAACCCTATATATCTTACTTCGTGCGCAGCTGTAAAACCTGCACTTCTGAATCGCTCTTTTTGATGAAGTACCCAGCAATGTGAAATTAATGGCGACTTCCGGTTTCATGATGTACGACAGAATATATCGCATAGAGGTTTTAGGATCGTCATCCATTAGACGTGTCAACATAGCCATCTGTAATAGGAATGAATGATAAAAATCATGTTGTGCTTACAAATCTGTCCCTAACGTCTTTGTGCTCTAGACAAGCGTCCAAAGTTCCCAGTTCCTCTTCTGATGACAAAGGGAACTGTTGGCTGGATAGTCCACAGTCAAATTGAGGTGAATTGAGGTGAGATTTCCAGAACATCTAAACAACTATTGCACGTAGGACACAAACTTTATCTCCGTTTCCCCTTTGCATTACTTATTGCAGAAAAAAGAACTTTTTAATATGCTCGTTTTTTATACATTTATTTCAAAGAAAAACAATTTTTTACTTATGGGCGTATTTTTTTTAAAAAAAGGCCAAATAAACTTATTTTTTTACAATCGCTTTTACGCTGTCGCAAGTGTATTAGTTTTTTAATCTCATCTTGCGTCTTTACACAAGTACGAGTGTATTTTCGACATGCACTCACACGTTCTATTTTTTTTTTCTTTTCCAGGACGGCTGGAAAAGAACGACAAAGTTTCACAAGGAACCGAAATTTTCATTGTACTTTATTTCTATATTGCTATGTTGTACATTATGGTCCCTTAATGTAAGGAAAGACAACCAGATGCTGCTAAACGAAGCAAGCTATCAGAAGAGTGTTTACCAACGACAAACTCGTTGGGTTTATACTTCTGGCTGGTCACGTCTTAGGAGCATCACTACCTCACCAGGGAAGGAGTGATCTGTTGCTGTAAATAATTCCCCAAAATCAATAGCTCATTTAGTGTTCGATATTGGATGCTGACCACGTTGTTTAAGTGGACTTGTTTAACTGAAGGCTTTCGGTCATGCATCCGCACCAGATCACGTTTCGACTCAGCGTGGGACACTGCTTCTACGTTCACTAGCCAGCCTATCAAATATATCTTTCCTATCTCTTCTCGTCTGACTTCTGATTTCCATTGGTCGGAAAAGTTTCGAATATAGAAGGTGCTATTGGTAACAGGTTGTAAAATCAGTATACTAGTCGTATCTCCACTAGACAAGGACGACGACATCAATCATTTATGTATGCTTTATTTCAAATTAATTTATCCTTCCGAACTAAACATTCCCAGGTCCAATCAGGATTTTTGATTCCTGCAGTAAATTGTGAGCTAAAGATCACCTTAATTAAAACCGTGTACAACCACCCTTGCACAAAAGGATATATTCCTGTAAATCCTTCCAGACGACATTTGTCGTCTAGTGAACGACAATATTTAAGACCGTTTATGTTGGGATATACAGCAACACGTAGCATTCGACATCTGGTTTCTTGAAAGTTTTACAAGACGCTTACCAAGGAAGGTACCGCTAAGATACTTTCACAGTTGTATCCAGGTTTTTATAGTCACATTCTAATTAATTGATTCCGAACATGAAACATATCAATAGGATTTCAGAACGCATCCAAACCAACAAGAAATTAAACGTGCTCTAAGCAAATAAGAATGTATCCATGATTTGCTTCAGACGCAAACAGCAAATATACATCTACCACGTGTTTCCAGAGTTTATATGTATTAACTCGACTTGCCAAACCATTAAAGTTGAGTAAGTAACAAATAAAAACAACTTTATTTTTGGTGTTCCATTGATCTACCTAATCGTATTAATTGTGTTATGCAATGTCAAACTTTTTTTATGCTTTTTGCAGGCATGAACGACGTGGAGACATCGTAAGACTACTGAAGTAATCCTATAAAGTATTGTAGCTGTAAATAATTCCCCAAAATCAATAGTTCATTAAGTGTTCGACATTGGATGCTGACCACGTGTTTAAGTGGACTTGTTTAACTGAAGGCTTTCGGTCATGCATCCGTACCAGATCACGTTTCGACTCAGCGTGGGACACAGCTCCTACGTTTCATTAGCCAGCTCATAGAAAAGGTCCTCGATATATTGGTAACGAATCAAATATATTGTAGGGTCACTGAATATCGAACAGATCACTGATCCCTGTCAAGGTCGTGGATAGTCAACGCGCACAAACCAATCGTACGCCATGGACTGGCCCACGCGGCAGTGGTTATTCTTTCACTTCTGTACTTCCGTAGTTGTACCTTAACTAATATATTCTTGTCATAACGTCCTTTGTGTTGTACAGTCTCCATAGCATCTATTATCCTTTGATGCGTCGATGGTTCAATCCACGTAAGGGCTGGTCGCGAGGTGTGACTTCAGCGTTAATTGGTTCGTCCCCATTCTCGTCTAACTATAGTAGGCCCCCGATCATTTTGACATAGATCATCAACGTAGATGGTCTTACACTGGTGAGCAAGACTTCGAATAACGCAACCTATCATTATGTTCTTTTTTTTACATTTTGTACTTATTATTTTCCATTTTTAACTTCGGCTATCTTTATCAGTTTCTGTGAACATTCGTTGCTTCATATCAATGTTGATTAGTATTTCAACTGAAATAATTAGTTCAATCGATAGAACTAACCAATCAACTACGACTGTAATCGACTATCGTGGTTCTTTAACAAGCATTAGCAGCATGTCAATGCTCCTGTGTAATGTGTCTGTTAAAATATCAACCACTCGTAAGTATGGCCTCAAGGCAACACGTACGCATATCTGTTTGCAACTTATCCACTTGTATAACCAATACAGGATAAACTGCCGATTATTAAATTCATCTTTCTGCTTATTCACTGTCAACTAACTACTATCAAAAACTATCTACTAGAATATTTTACTTTCTTGACCACTGCCTGCCTAATTTCCAATTGCTGAGTTCCATGGCGAATCAGAGGATACAAATGCTAGAAATTTACGGTGAGTTTGAACTATAAATTTCCTGCAATGTTAGATCTTGTTTAAACTTCGTCAGGCAATTCTACGTGTTCAACCTAAATTAGACTTATTCCAATTCAGTCTACAACGTTTCCTTAATCTACGAAGTTAATCCACAAATTTCAATTACTTTGGAGCACGAGTAATCCAGGCGAGTTTCATAATTGAGTTAGTTAATTTCGTATAATGTTTATAATGTCTAACATTTTGCGGCTACTTTCACTTAGAGTAGTCATACATTCTGTCACTGCCGTCAAATGTTAGTCGAAACTACTTACATTTATGACTTGTAAGTCAACATACTCCGAAAAAACGTATTTCATGTACACGAGCAATCTTAGTCCATGTCTTAATGAGACACTTCGTCGTACTTGATGTCACTTAGAGCTAGATAATATGCTTTTTTACGAAACGATCACGTTATCTAAACCTAAACTTTAGTTACATTGGTGGTTACCATTTAAATTAATGTTTACTATGCGCTTTTTTTTGTTTGCTGTTATCTCATACAGTAAATCATGACTCGATTTCCTTATTGCACGAAAGTCACTTTAATTCCGTCTTCGGCTTATTCACATGCAATACGGGTTTGGAAAATATCTAAACGTCTTCTGAAATTCTCCACAAACCCCACGATAGTCTTCGTACATGTTTGATACTGCACATCCAATTGCTACATAAACAATGCCCAAACGAACGTTCAGTACAATTGTCAGTATACGAAATAATGTTACTTCGATGTGACATTACAACACCTTCGAACTATTGTAGTTATTCAACTTCGACGTCGTATTTTTTCATATTATGAAGTATTGTTTCCGCATGGCTGTTATCTAACAGATGATTTCGGTACATCAATCGGCTGTTCAACTACTCGACGATCTAAAGCCTGTCCAGTTCAATTGGTGGTTTGACGACACTCATTCACGCGAATCATCGGTTTACGCAGTCGAGCGCATCTCCTGCAAACTGACAACGATATTGTCGTCT